TGTCTTCCCGTACCGTGATCAATTGATTCTAAAAGACTAATCATTTATGAATATACCATAGGCAGATACAGGATTTGGGGAGGGGCTTGTATAACTTCGTTTAGGCAAGAGGTCTGGGGCCATCGTAAGGCCCCCAGGTCCTGGGCGAAGCCCTGGTGGGGGCCAAGTGAGTAACACCCCCCCCATTCCCCCAAAAGCTCTTTGGTTGTATTTTAAGAGTAAAACCAGGCACTATTATAGTGGTATTGGTTATTATGAACAAAAGTAAGACATAATTAATACTGGTCATACCATACTTTTAATGAAGGGGGTTCAGGGGGCGAAGCCCCCTGAAGCTCTTGGGTTTATCTGTATGTTAAAGAGTAAAACCAGACAAAATTGTGTAGGAATTGGTTAGATATGTACCAAAGTATGACATTATTAATACTAGTCATATACTTTGAATGAAAAGGGCCGAGGGGGCAAAGCCCCCTGAAGCTCTTGGGTTTTTGTGTATTTTAAGAGTAAAACTAGGCACAAAAATATGGGCGTTGTCCCTAAGTATGGCATTATTATTTAAATTCGTATCATACTTTGAAATTTTAGGGGAGGGGTTGTACACATGTACCGGTACGTCCCACTTAAATCCACCAGTGTATATTTTGTATTAATTTATCGGGGAAGTGTTATTCTTCGACAAGAAAGTTTATCTTTTATGGTGTACAAGAATTGGCTTGTATTTAAAGTACTGTTATTCTTCACACCTACGCACATTGTCATGTTGACAAACTGACTTAAGCATGTTAAGTATCCAGTCTGGTAATCTGATTTTAAATACTATTTGGTTCTAAAATAGCGAGCGAAGCGAGCAAAAAAATTTTTTGAATTGAAGACTTTTGAGATTAAATTACACGTAAATAAAAAAGGTATTTTTCACAATATTTAAATATCATAATTCAAGGTCAAATTATTTATTTTCTCTGTAGTGGAGGAAAGATTATTTATTTTCAATATTTTCAGGGACAAATTATTTATTTCCAAAATCTGCCAGGCCCCCCCCCCTCAGAATCAAATGGTCGTCCCCTAAGAAGACAAAATTAAACCTGCCCCCAGCACTTTTTAAGTACCATGGATCACGATGAATTGATCTATATAACAAACTTTGCAATAATTGTGTTATGCACTTGTGCCGATGCGATTTTTGTACAACATTTAAGAATATCAAAATGTGTCCGTCACGTGATCAACACAGTCATCTGACATCACAGGAATGCTGTATAATAATACCTGATTAAACTATTATCTCGAGTTGACTGCAATTTCAAACAAGGATAACATATTGAAATTAAAATCTAGCTCAAAATAAAGTGTATATTTTTAAGACATTTTAAGCCTTCGGACAGCCTTATCATAACTGCGCAGTATTATACACAACAAGACATAATTAAAACTAATTAAAAAGGAACACATGTGAATTGAATATTGAAAGAACAAAAAAAAAACATTCTGTCTATAAAACTCATTTAAAAGGAACACACGTGAATTCAATATGCAAAGAGCTAAAACATTCTGTATAAGAGAATACAAGTTGTGTAAATGTTATTCACAGCAATTCACGTTGACATCATATTTATAGTGTACATGTATATTTACACTGATCAAGAAGTAAATTACAAAGTTGTAAACCTGACTTTTTTTGGGGGGTGGCTCCGGAGCCAGCTTATCTTCCAAATAATTTACAATGATTGTCATTTGCTTCACATCATTCGCCATTCGTTCTCCCAAGTTTCTCAGGAGTTTAAACTGTTCTTCAAAGTTTGGAACTACTGATGGCTCCTTAATCCTTTTTTCTAATGTTTGATATTTCTGGGGATATTTTCTTCTACAATAAACAGATTTCCAAAATTAGAGATGATGCTATATATATATATATATATATATATATATATATATATATATATATATATATATATATATATAGTTTTAAAATGTTATGATATTTAATTTTTTTTAAAGTTATTTTTCCCTTTTTGTAATTAAAACATGTTAATAGATAAAGAATATTAAATAATAATGTTACCGAAACGTGGTCAAAATAGAATTTTCAACATTTTGGAAGTTTGTGAGTTCCTCGTCAACCTGTAATGGTGGCCAATTCGACTTTTTGACATTTTCCTTGCTTTCTGGAGTGGGAGTGGAAGGCCTTCAAAAACACACTTTCTGATATCAAATAAAACATTCATATATATGTATAATGTTAAAATAAGCTAATATTTTGAAAGTACCGAATTTCTTGACATTGTATTAGGACCAAAGAAAAGGGTGTAATTAATTAAGTCAAAGAAAGATAACTCCGACAAAAGCTGTTACACTCACCGCTTTGAAAAGCCTTCCATTTCTAATTCTTTTCCCATCTTTACCCACATTTCCTCAAATTCCTCAAAGGAATTTGCCGAGCTTGTTGCTTCACTGTAATATAGAACATTTTGTGTGCAACCCATAGATGATTAAATGATTTTATCACAAAAAGCACCTTATAGCTATATATGACGTATCTGTGCTAAAAAATACAGGATTGAGTGTAGATAAACATGATATATGTTAATTATGTTCAAATTAAAATTTTGACCGATTTGGAACTTCAATAATGTTTCCATTGTTGAATTTACTTTAAACAGTGTATGTTAATTAAATGTGGAGTCGGGAAATAAATCGGTTATTGCTAAAAATTTAGAATATCTTTGAAACGAGATTGATTTAAATCGCGCACTACAATTTACAACAAAGTCTTATCCTTTATATAAAGTAATACAACAAGTAGAAAGTACTCTCTAATTTTAATTAGTCTGAACTTTAAAAAAAAAACACCATATATGACTGCTATGTATTCTAAATAAATAATTAAATTTGTAAAGCATATATGATTCTCTTTGTCGTGGATATTCGTACAAATGTATGTTATTCTAATTGAAAGTTACTGTGTGGAAATATATATATATATATATATATATATATATATATATATATATATATATATATATATATATATATATATATATATATATATTACATGTATTATGCGTATAAAATATCAATAGTATAACAATGCGTATAAAATATTATTATTATGGTCATGATATGTTAAAACATTAGATTGTATGTGGACCAATATTTTGTGTTTTAATTTTCACTACTTTATCATATTTAGACTTTTTTTTTTACAGTAAAATAGTTTATATAACCATTAATATTGCTTTAATTTGAAAAAAAAACAACTTTCGGATAAGGGGAAAATTATCATTACTTTAAAAATTATATCCTTTTTGTTTTATGAAGTGACAAAAAAGAATTATAAACAAATTCCTTTAAAAGTTAGCGTACCAAAATTATTTCTCTTACAATTTGATAAGTTATTATTACACTAGGTTTATTTAATTTTGAAACGATTAACTAAAAAAAATTACTTACAGAAACTGTAGATATTCTTCAGCCATTTTCTCAAGGTGATAACGTAATGCAAAACTCCGTTGTATTTATATGTCTTGAATGAAAAATTCGGTGAGGAAATAATACAAACAAAATTAAGTGGGTTGGGACAGTTTACCACCCAATCCGCGCTTTCTCCGTGGGTACGAGTTAAAGGATTTGACGGTTCAAAGAAAAAATACATCACGATAATGACGCAGGTGCTCTACTCCATTAACTGAATTATATTCCCTTTTTAAAAATACCGCTGTGTCGTGACATATCTGCGCGACACACCTGACAGGAGTGATCTGCGCATTCCCGGAGGGTCTCTAATGAGGTGAAATTGTGTTAATTAATTCATGGTTGCTCTATTTTTTTTCTACACCTGTAAACACAGGTATTGTAAGAAAAAAAAAGGAATTCATGTCACCTCGTTTCAATCCAATGTAGCATCTTTATTCAACTATGTAAGAGAATATGTACAGTATCTAGTTCTTTGTATTCTTTATTCAATGTGTCCTTTTGATTTAAGTCATGATATTAATCTTAGCGCTATCAATCTATCTTGCAACATCAGCGCAGGGGTGTTACAGCATATTATGATTATGACTTGTTCTCTATTTAAGTTATGTTAAAAAAAGAGTGATTTTTAACTCGTGATCCTAAAGTATACTAGTCTAGCAGGTTATGATGTAAATTATTCATTTCAAAGAAGATAAAGCGTTAACCTCGCATTTGCTATGTAATTAATCATTCGATTAAATTGCTGTTTAAACTTTATCAGTGACGTTCACCTACCGCAAGTCTGACACTGATATACAAATCTGACATTTTATATATAACATTAAATGTAGTAAACGAGGGCTTAATGTGATTTACTTAAACCTTTGGACAAATCAGTCAACAACTTTGTAATAAAGATGTTATTTATGAATTAAATTAATTTTCTCAATCCGAGTTTTCTGGTTGTTTGTTTGTTTGTTTTTTTTTGTTTTTGTTTTTTGCTTCTATTAAAGTTACAGATCAAGGTGTTAGAATTATACCCCCCCCCCCACCCCTTTCTGATTTTGTTAGAGAGAGAGAGAGATTTCAAAACTCATATCTATATAGATGTCTGAATATAAAAACTGGTAATATGGAGTGAACAGAATGGAATCCTCTGTAATTACACTGATTCAATCGTTATATGCGGATTAGAAAATACAGACATCATTAAAAAAAAATCGTGCAACACTATTTGCCTAACTTTCTTACAAGTCTGTATCCTGTATAAATACAGATTACCAAATATGGGTCACCGATTCAGTTAAGTGACCCTATCTAAACGGATCACATGATCAAAAGTCCGTGCAGCATTCGCGGCAAAATTGTCTGAGAAAATGGAGAATCGAGGTGTAATGATACTTCTATTAGGGGTGGCGTTATTTCATGTACCTGTATTCTGTGACAGTGACAGTGACAATTTTCGTGGCAAAGTATGTGCTGGACAGGTTGGCGTATTTAATTGTGCGCGTTTTTCCCATTGCGTGATCATTAAAGGAGGGCAAATCAAGATGCGGGAAATCCGTCTTTTCAGCTGCAACGTGAAAATTGTAAGAATTGGATGGTCCCAAATTCAACATCCGATCATTCGAGACAGGATGTTTAGGAAGTGTGAAGGTAAGCATATTTTTTTTTATTCCTAAGCCCATTTTCCCTTAAAAAACCGTGGGAAAGACTACACACGCGGATCTAAAACGGGCCAATAGAACGGCGTAAAAAAATCTATGTAATGTGCATTGACTTGGAGTTCTTCAAATGATGTGTTTTGAGTATTTTAAGTAAATATAACGAAATATAATGTTTTTATTTGTAACTTTTCTTTGTATGATACAAAAGTAAAAAAAAAATATGCGACTACCATGAGATCGGGTTCGAAATTCAAGCAGGCAAGGTGAAACATTCGGAGCACCTCGGGTGATTCGGAGTGTTGCGGAATCGGTCGAGGATTGCCGATTGTGACAGGAAGTAAACCTTCTGTTTTTATAATTTTATTTTTAGTCATCACCTCTATGTAAAAATCTGTTACAGATATGCCTACTGAAGAGTCCAAGATATTAACCACCTTGATTTCTACATTGCCATCAACTTCTTCAGCAAGAACACGAGAGGGGGCTCGCATTGGATCAGTTCCGAGGAAAAGCGTAACTCAAGGTAGGTCTGCTTTTTTTGAAAAATGTCGGTATCATTCATGTTTAGCCAATTTCATTGACAATTGTACAGCTATTGCGATTAATAAAAGTTAAATTTTGAATTCTAAATAAATTAAAACCTTTTAGTTCTGTTGTCCCTGTTAACAATAATGACTTGGAAAAGGTTTTTTTTTTGTAATTCAGGTTTACTTCATCACGACAAAGAAGAAATTTTTGAAGAACCAGAGACTACAGGTAAGCTTACAACTGTTCTGCTGTCATTAGTTTACTGTTTAGTAATTATTCTTTAATCAAAGAGAAAAAAATCTTGGATGTAAATAAAAAAAACATCATCAATTAGAATAAAAATATTTAAAAAGATATAAAATCTATAAACCCACATTCTTTGATTATGTTTGGATATGTATTTGAGAAAAGAAAAAAAAATTCACATCATCACCAGAGTTTATGGTGACACCTATTATATTTTTTGGAGGTTTCTTTACATGGGCTGTTGTTGCAACCTTGGGAATGATTGCAGTCCTTATAAAGCGGTTTTTAATGAAGGAGTTGTGCCGTTGCCCATGTAAATGCTGGAATAGGTATGATGTACCCCCTAACGCCATTTCCACACATCCCGATGATCCTTTAGATACACATCCGGATAATGAAGGAAATATACCGCATGCACCAGAGAACATTCCACTTGGCCATCTTCATCCTCAGGCAACATCTACACCAACCTCCTCAAACCTCAGTCCTACCCTCTCACCTATGTCTCAGGGAACAACTCTGACAGATATGTCGACACCTAGCACTAAAACACTCCTTGAAGAATTACACATTGCATCTCGCACGAGACGCCAAACTGCTAAAAAATTATTTTAATGCAATGATATTTGAAGTTCACCTTTGACAAAGCTGAGTTTTAATCAAGTGACAAGACTTGTCATCTTCATGTTTTATCCCACAAACAATTTCATGTTTGTTGATAGAATTTTTGTTTTTTTCGAAAATGACATTTTCAATTAGAAAATAAGTTCAATTCTCGTTCAAAAGCCGGACAAGATAGATATCCGGTTGTTAAACCCCATATATTTTTCAAATGTTTATGCCATTTTGACACAAATGTGTTTGATGATTCACATGTATGATTTATACATGTTAAAATGTAGTTTTAGTGAATTTCTTTTTTGGTTTCATTTTGCGATGTTTTTTTTTTACAATACACATGTATCCTTATGTTTAATTTTACTTTTTTATATGATTATACAAATGATTTGTTTTAATTTACGGTTTCGTTTTGCGATGTTTCATATGCAATATCATTATAATGTGTAATTTTACTTTTTTTATATGATTATACAAACGATTTGTTTTAATTTACCTCATATTACTAATTAAAAGTTTTTTCAAGGTTTAGAATTGATTTTTACTTCAATATCAGATGAATGTTGGGATATGCAAATGGAGAGATTGAGCAAAAAAAAAAAAGCACAATAACATGTTCTCTTTTTTTTCTCAGAGATGTTGAACCCATTCAACTTTGTACGCATCTTCGCAAGCCAAGGGTTTTCGGTCCGTAACACTCCCCACAAACCCTTGGCAGATTACGCCACTAAAACTGTGGCCAAATTTTCATTGGTTCAGAGGTTCGACTCTGAACCAATGAAAATACAGCTTTCATTCATAAACAAGATGGCGATCAAAACCATGTGTAAGAATGTGTTTATCTTCTATATGACTTAAGATGGAACTTTGTCGATTGTGTGGGGGACAATTACCACAGAAATTTCGTAGGGTTATATTTTCACCTTCGTTCAAGGTTTTTAAACAACTGTCGGAAGTTTTAAATCACAGCCCGTGTGAAAATGACAGTCTATCCCGGTACGTGTGTTACCCTTGCTTCAACAAATTAAATAAATTGGAAAAAATTGACTATGATTTAGAAAATAAACTTAAGGCACTAGAAGCAGAAAAGTCTTCCATATTGCAAGAACTGCGATATAAACATGGTTTACATTCTTCGAGACAAGTCTCGACTTCGACATTTACAACATCAACCGGAATTTCCTCAGATCACGATAGCGTTTCCTTGCCTACAAGTAGTAAAGTTCTTGCCACTCCGACGAAGAGTACAACTCGGACAAAGAGGACAATTGTTCACACACCTACCCCAAGAAAATTTAAGGTCCAAGTCACTCCACGGAAAATAATTTCGGCTGCTCCTTCATCCAGAAAGCGTTTAGGACATCTTTTATTATCACCACTGAAAGCAAAGGTTTGTTTTTGATTTGCATAATGAATATTGAGTTATATCTGTCAATTTTTGTGCTTGCACCTAGGGAAATAGGCTTGCTCGAGGGGAACTGGATTCTTGCCGACTCCCTCATACTTTAATGGTTTATTATACCGATACAAACAAGAAATTTGAAAAATTTTAAAATGAATGCTGTAACAGTGTTTAATTTTAATTCAAGTGTCCAAGTTTGTAACACGAATTAATATAAAATCATAACAACAACAGTCATTAAAGAACTCAGTGCACATCAGTTTGCCATGTTGATATCACAATACAAGTGGCATAACTTTTACCGTATAAATTAGACGCCACCACCTTGTTATAAAGCATTAACATAGCTGCGTTATGAATATTTACTTGTTTATTTGGAACACATTGGAACTTTTCATATATAAATTAAAAGAAATTGCTTAGTGTTCCAAATAGGTGTGTATCAGTTCATCAGACTGTCACACTTTTTTGCAGGGAATCAGTCCGTTTACAGTGATTTTCAGGGAATCAGCAAAATATATTGATTTACTCTTATAAAGTGAGAAACAATAGAGTTGAAAAAAGTGCAACTGTTCATTTAAATTTACATTGATTATACATTTGTAGGTGTCCTACAGAGGTCAGAATGACCAGAAAGTGAGATCAAGAATTATCAAAGAAAAGGGGCTTTATGGTGTAGTTGTTGGACTTGTTCGAGGCAATAAACCAGAAGTTATTTTAAACAAACTATTAAAATCAAAAGGCTTCAAAGAAAAAGCTTTCAAAACAATAAAAAAATATGTGAAAGAAGAATGTAGGTTACTTTGTGGCAAGAAGGATGCATCTGTCTTGCGAGGCAATTCTCCTGATTGTTTGGCTTCTGTAGATTTTCAGAAGATTGCTACTGAATTGAGGAAAAGAGCTCCTGGTTTTTCCCAATTGCTATCAGACATTATGAACACTACAGAACCAGTGGCCTTGGTGTCGTCAGCAGCCATATTGCTGCATCATAGGAATCAAAATATGTCATTGATTCATCATGTAGTTGGTCAGCTACTGGAGCATGGTGGAGCCACAGATGAAGTAAATGAATATATGCTTCATTATCATTATTACAATTGAAAATGATTTAACATGTAAAATATTAATATTTATCTTCACAAAAATGATAATGCATCATTTTTTTTTTAAACTTGTATTCTTGTTTTGGCTGATTTGATCAGTAATACTTTTCTATCATATTATTATTTATAAACAGTTCCGACTGTAACTGCATTCTGCATATCTCCATATTACAAATGCTTACACTGTAACTCATTTAACATTTCTCCTTTGCCAACAATTTTGACAAAATTTTGATCAGTAATAATTAATTTAATTACTAAAATCAACGTCTTCAATGACAAAAGAAAAGCAAAGAAAGAGCTTTCACTGGTTTCTCTTGGTTGGTCTCCAGAGAAGAGTTTTAGTTCCAAGTTTGCCAGATGATAAACCAAAACATGACATTTTAACCTTGCCCAACCACTCATTTCTACCCAGCTCTGAGGAAATTAAAATTTTTGAGAGCAACATGGTACATCACATCTTGAAAGTTCTTACAAAACATGTCGGATGTCTAAAACCCTTTACAGAATGTGTACCAAAATATATCGCCCATCCTTTCATAGAGCAAACTTCCAAAAGATCAACATACTTTATTTTGGATTTGATGGACAAAAATGAAAACTTGCATGATGACATGATTAGTATTCTAGAACACATTCACCAAAAGTATATTGCACACACTTCTGGAGAAAATGCGGAGGTGATAGAGAGGAAAGTGTTTGGTGGTGATGTACTGACTAACGAGCGTGCATATACAGCACAGTTAGCTATGCTTAATTGTGAGACGAATTACCACAAACTTGGAGGAATTATTCATAGACCAGAGGGCCTCCATAGAATGATGAACTTTCTGCTGGTATTTCAGCATGCAATGGTTCTGTTCCAGTTTTGCCAGTTTTTATTTGTTCTTTTTGTAAGTTTTGAATTAGGTAACATTTCTATACACTGTCAACAAATCAATAGTTGTGTGAAAAAGTAAACTAACCTATTGGTCCTATTTACCACCTACAGGCTCTTGAATACAAGCAGAGATAAGTTACAATGATATTTATCAGTATAAAAATACAGTAGACAAAAATGAACACACAAATAGATGAATAAATTTATATGATGGAAAAAGAATCCCCTTGAAATATACTTCAAGTTTGTTGGCAGGACAAGACGTTGGAATAGATAGTTAAGTTAAAAGCATGAACCATTTTTCAGTTCAAAAAGCTCACCTGTTGTGAGCTTTTCTGATTTTAATCAGTCTGTCTGAAACTTCCATGGTGAGCATTGTGGTCCATGGACCTTCTGTTAATACTAATTTTATCTTTTACTAATATTAATTTTCTTTTTTGTTACTTAGTGCTTGATTTTAGAGTCTTTCAAATCATTATGCATTATGAAACTACAACTGCAAAGCAAATCTTAGTTATCTTCTAGCAATAGGGCTGTGATGATACAACTTTTTCTATATCGAGTGGTTTTAATCATTATGCATCTCATATTTATATTAATCATATTTATTTATAAGTTAAACCCATAATGTAAAGTAAACAAAGAAAATATAAGAAAATTTAAAAAAATATTTTAGCACTATTTCAGTATGATCCTTATACAGAATCAACATTTATGATAATGTTTCTTGATATGGTCCCAGCCCTTGTCTCGCATAGCAGTTGAATTGACAGTAGAACTCAAAACATGTAATGCTTTGATTTACAGAATGGGACGCTTTGAAGCTTATCTGTTCATAGATTTTTAAGTTTAGAAGTACTTTTTTCCCATTTCTGTTTGAAAAAGAAAAATTATTAAAAAAAAAACACACACATTGAAAAGTTCATATTTAATTTTTGATTTACAAAATTAAATTCTTATTAATATGAAAATTTCTACTTGATAAGATTCTTTTATATGAAACTATTAATTTATTTTACAGTTCATATACCAGGAGTTCTACAAACCATCCTCTTCCTTTGAACAAGGGACTTTATTTCAGTTAAGAAATGTCATTCATAGAGTTGATGTCACTGGAAAAGAAAGAGTTGTGGAAGCATTCAGGTATGTTCTCAGAGTGAACCTCACTTTAAAAAAATCCAGGCATATGTTGTCTTTTATTCAATATTCAGATGTGTTGCATGTACTAATTTCTGTGGTTGTCAATTTAGAGCTCATTTTGCATTTGTGGAGGATGCTTTAGATGCATTCATTCTTGGGGCCGCAATGGATGTCATGGGTTTAGAAAATATCAATGGATCTCCTCAACAGTTTAACCCAAACACCTTATCCTTGTTTAGTGCTGAGGACCAGTTTTCATGGTTAAAGAAGTTGGCAGAGGCCATCATTGACAAGCACATAAACCTACAAGGTTAGCATATTTACTGCAAGCAAATAACTACTGAACCAAACTTTGTATTTATTAACCGAGAAAAATTTTGTAAAGTTGATTTTTGTAATGAGAGTCAGTTGTTGTGTGTATATACACATCAAAGTGAGTTGTATCTCTTTTTTTCTTTTCAACTCTTAGATTCAACTGATCTTCAAGAAATGACACAGGCATCTGCTGAAAGAGATACACAGGATATTCTTATTAAAAACATGTTTGACCCAATGCTGAAACAATATGAGTGTACATGCAGAAAGAAATACAAGACACTTGGCTACTTCAAACGCCACTTGGAGAAGGAACATAACTGGCAGTTTCCTACTGAAACAGTTCACGACACCCAGCACACAGACAAGATTGCAGTTTGGCGTGCATCATTCATGAAAACCGCTCTTATATTAAGAGACACTTGTAATGCATATAAAATGGGTGATGGCGATAGAATATTCCTGAATGCGAAATTGGAAATGCTTTGTGCCAGTGTTGCAGGGCACACTAAATACCAGTTGTGGCTGTGGAGGATGATGGCATATGAACAAGCAGTGCTTTCACCTAAGAAAGCAATGGAGTATAAGTGGAATACCACAGCAAATATCAGCGGAACTGTAGATGGACACATTCCAAATGACAATTTAGTTGAACTTTGTGTCCAGTTAATCAAGAAGAAGCTGAAAGAGCAGGGTGCAAATTTCACATTGAAGAGTGCACAAACAACTGCACTTGCTTGCCAAATTCAGGAGGAATTAAAAGAGAACATTAGGCAACAGCTGTCTAAGAAAGCTGCAGGAAAATCCAGAACCAGATCTGACAAGTCAGCAGACATCGCTCTTATGTTGAATGAAGTGATTTCAGGTGGTCTATTTAAAAACATTCCAGGACGACAATTTGAAAACTTTAAGAATTTTAAGGGTGTTTTTGAAAAAGTTAATCTTCACAAGCTTCATCTTTGGATATCTAAGCACAAGGAAATTGCATCATATGAAATGATTTGAAGTTTAAGTGTTTACATTGTAGATGTATTTTGATATACAGTAAAACTTGTTTAGTACAAACACGGATATAGCGAATTCAAGGATATAGCGAAGTTTTTCTGGGTCCCCGGCAAAATTCTTAACAAATCTTTGTAAAATTTTACGGTTATAACGAACTCTGATATCATGAATTTACGGATATTGCAAACTGATTTTGAGTCCCCTTGAGTTTAAATATGATAAAATTTACATCTTTTATAAGAAATTTTGAAAGATTATAAAAAATTGATAAATTGAACTGACTTATTACCATTTAGCATTTGTATATAAAATTCAATTCATAATAAAACCTTAGTTATTGAAGATATATTTTGCAAAATTTGCTTCCCTAACATATTTGGTAGTAATACTTGCATATTGCGAATTTGCTATAATGGTTATATGAATTGGTTATACGGATATAACAAATTACGGTTATAGCGAATTAAATTCACAGGTATCAAGTTTTACTGTATATACATGTATTGGCTTATACATATCTATATATTTTATGTCATTATATATTCAAGATTATTTGGCCCAGTATGAAAAGAATTTACTGCATCTTTTGTAATTCTCAAAGCAAACCATTTCACTTTGTCACAATTTTAAATGTTAAAACATGTTTTTTATTGTTCTGTATAGTGGAATTACAAAATGATACTTTACTGCAACTTGTGTAATTCTCAAAACAAACCATTTCACTTTGACACAATGATTAACTTGTTTTTTTGTTGTTGTTGTTCTGTATAGTGGATAAATAATGACAAAATGATATGTTGCTTTTTGTGAATAGTATCCCAAAAAAAAAAAAAGATAAAAAATAAATGGATCAAGTTTAATATCATTATACAGAAGATAATTCGACTGTAGTAAATCTACAATATGCTGAACAGACTAAATGTCAACATTATTAGGTCACTCAGGTGACTATTGCTATCTGTTTTCATCCGTCGTCAATCGGTCATAAACTTTTGAACATTTTCAGCTTCTTCTCTGGAATGGCTGAGCCAATTTCAACCAAATTTGGTATACAGCATCTATGGGTGAAGGGGAACAAAAATCGTGAAATTCATGGTCCCTGTCCCCCTGGGGCCTGAGGGGTAGGGCCAAAACCACCAAAATTAATGCAATCTTTAAAAATCTTCTTCTTTACTCCTGGACATCTAGCAGTCAAACTGTTGGCATGATGATAATCAGCATTGAGTCCTCTACCAAAATTGTGAAATTCCTGGCCCCAGGGTCAGGGGTTCTGGGGTCAGGGGGAGGCTATATAGATCATATAGTAAAAGTGCATTATTTCTTTGAAAATCTTCTCTGCTCCTGGGAATTAAATAAATTAACTAAGCACATAGTTATGAGGAGCAAGAATGTCTCTTTCAAAATTATGAATTTTATGGCCCCAGGGTGAGGGGTTCTTGTGTTAGGGTGGGGCTCTAATGATTATATAGTGAAAATACATTAATTCTTTAAAAATCTTCTTCCCTGCTCCTGGGTATTAAATAAACTAACTAAGCACATAGTTATGATGAGCAAGAATGTCTCTTCCAAAATTATGGCCCTAGGGTCAGGGGTTGTTGTGTTGGGGGGGGGCACTATTGATTATAGTGAAATTAAGTTAAATGTAACTATATACTTATGAGGAATAATGGTTCCTTTTTTAAAACATGAACTAAACTCAATCATTGGAAAGTTGTTGCATGATGCTCAGGTGACCTACAAGGCCCATGGGCCTCTTGTTTAAAATATTCTAATCTGACTCTGTGTCGGAAGAATCATAAACCAAAATGTCATTAAACACATCATCAAAAATCTGAATTATTTGCTTAGCAGTGTCAACTAACCAAACTGTTGCATATTCCATCACATCATTAACTGTAAATATTTTATGACAATTTACTAATAGACTATTAATGGCTTCATCTCTCAGTTCAGAATGGTCACCAAACAAATCTGGCATGCTACTCTGGGCTGACTGCATTAACTCTAGCTTGTGCTTTAAAGTTGTCTTGTCCTCATCACAGACTTCACGATGGAATGTGTCTTGATCCTGTGGTGATTCCTCCATTATTTGGTAAGCTGGATGCGTCAACTTGGGACAATCTACACAGTCACATTTTTTCTCACAAACATCACAGCATTTGTGCTTTTGTTCATAAATATGACTAGGTGCACTGTAAGCTTTGCACAGAATGCTTCTTCTGCACTGATTGTCTGTCTTTATCAGTGATAAAACTTCAGGGTCAGTTTTTTTAAAATGCCCTTTGTGATTCTTGTAAAGTATTAATTCATTGGAAAATTCATTGTCTTTTCCTGCCCTGCCCATCTGCTGCGTAAGGCTGTCCAAGTCTCGTGGTGGACCATAATGTATGATGTTGTGTAGGCCCTTGAAATTAACTCCCATCCCAGCAGCGTTTGTACAGAAAAGGACTCTTATTTGTCCTTCTTCAGACTCCATGTCCACACGAATTTTGTCTTTCACGTGTTCTGCTGTTTTGCTGTGGAACATATGTAACATGGAAGAATCACATTTCCTTAAAAATGTACTGTAGAGTAAGGCACAGTCTTTTATGCTGTTGCAAAATACAACATGTCTGGGGGTGTTTATTTTGTCCCTGTTGAGAGTTTCAATAAGCCATTCAAATGTGTCACTAATATCTGCATTATTTTTAATGCATTTCACATTTATTTTAATGTTTGGTCTGTCTGGACTGTCCAGTATGCACACATAATCTTCCCTGAAGCATAAACTTTTCATGATTTTCTTCCTGTTTGATGGACTAGCTGTTGCTGTCAGCGAAAGTAAGGGCACAGTCAGGCTAAGGGATCGATATGGAATCCGGATAGGGCCACACAGTTCACTATCGCATCATCGCACCATCGAGGTTTAGGTCGATAGTGCGATGAAGAGATAATGCGATGACGGTGAGGCGATGGTGCGATAGCGATGAAGTGATGGTGCGATAGCGCGATGACGATGATGCTATGGCGCGACAATGCGATGACGATGGTGCGATAATGCGATGACACGATGGTGCGATAGTGATGACACGATGATGCGATGACGATGGTGCGATAGTACGATGACGATGAAGCGATATTCACTATCGTTCAATCGTGCTATCGCACCATCGCCATCGCATTATCGCGCCATAGCATCATCGTCATCGCGCTATCGCATCATCGCTTCATCGTTATCGCATCACCGTTTCATCGTTATCGCGCCATCGCATTATCGCGCCATCGACCTTTAAGTTGATGCTCGATGGTGCGATAGTGAAGTGCGTGGCCCTATCCGGATTCCATAGATCGAAGCTCACCAATCTTTGAAAAAAATGTTCTGAAGGCTTCCTCATTCTTCTGCCCTTCACCCCTGAAAAATCAAAGTAACTTAAATTATCATTAAGGATTTTGTTTATGTTGTACCACAGGTACCTGATCAATAAGTAGCAAATAATGCCCTGGAACACAACAACCCACCTCCTCAATATACATGTGTAATGAATATGTAAATGGAGAGTATGAGATTTTTTTAAACTCCAGGACTTTATGCGCTATATCAGTTAGATTTATTTGGTTCCTGAAATCTCAATTTAATTTACACCAATGTCAGGACTTGCGTTCTACTGAAAGTACTCAAAATTTGATGGCGGGTAGTGTCGATCAATAGATAGATAGATGTGATTATCCATTGGAATGAGATATGATTAGCATTCTGGTAAAATTAAGATGTGATTATCCATTGGAATGGGATATGATTAGCATTCTGGTAAAATAATACAGCTGTGAAATTATGGAATTATTATGGGAACATACCATTGATAAACTGTGTGGGCTTCGTCAACAACTGTCAACTTGTGTCTTGCTGAAAATTCGGGATCCCGGAAGATTTCTCTCCACTCGTCGTTTCCAACCAAGGCTTCAGGACTTCCAAATAAGAACTGGTAGTAACCCTTACGCACATCATCTTTTCGGCAATCTGACTTTCCGATGTATGTTGCCCGGAAACCCAGTCCTGAGAGTCTGTTTACCTGCTCTTTCATGATGCTGAGAAGCGGGGAAACTATGACACACACGGCCGATTGTCCAAACACAACGGGGGAACTTTCATATATGAGTGACTTTCCACTCCCTGTCCTGGTACCTACGAATACATCTTTTCCCTGCTGTATACTTTCTATAGCACGTAACTGATCTTCCGTTAATTTCACTTGAAATACTTTCTCAACCTTTTCTTTCGTGGTCTCCGCCATTATTGTTTTTTTCCATACACGAACAGCATTATGAAAGCCCTTACCCGATTGGCTAGATTTTGAAGTTAATATACAGAACATCCGCTTGGCGTCGCCACTGCGGGCCACAGTTTTAGTGGCGTAATCTGCCAAGGGTTTGTGGGGAGTGTTACGGACCGAAAACCCTTGGCTTGCGAAGATGCTTTGTACTACACTTCAGCATTAATTTGGAAAATAAGTATAAGTGTCCAGTAAATGTATTCTTTTATTCATTTAGAGGATGACGGATGGTACATAGGCAATTTAGCCACATATGATCCACATATGCATTGCCTTTCATATGAAGATCATATGTGGATCATATGAGAATCATATGTATACACAATCATATGAGAATCATATGTGGCCAATCATTTGAGAATCATATGATCATACATATGTGAATCATATGAAGTAATATACATATGATTCTCATATGAAAGATCCTGCATATGAGAATCATATGAATATTCTGACAATAATCATATGAGAATCATATGAAACTAAACATATGAGAATCACATGAAACTATGTTCACTAATTTGTTCTTGTTATACTCAGGTAAAATTCATACGAATGTTTGACTGTGATCATATGAGAATCATATGAAACAGTGATCATATGAGAATCATATGAAACAGTGTTTACTTATCTTTCCTTGTTATACTGAAGTAAAATTGCAATTTCAATTATATATATCAAAAGATAAATTTAAATGTACATTAATTCAAAAGAATATTTGTTAGTCATTAATTATATGTAAAGTTCTACTCTGTTTAACCCCCCCCCCCCTTTTCCTTCTAAAAAAAAAAACCTTTCACAATTTTTTTTCTGTTATATTGCATTTCCCAGACAAAATAGAAGAAAAGAATAAATTAATTTGCTTTTCATTTTAAATCTTTTGGGTTTGGCTTAGTAAAATTAAAATAATTCCGTATTTTTCTCCGGGCCGGTTTTGTCTTTTATCGGATGAAAATATACGTCAATTTTGACGTCACTGCTGTAGCAGACGTGTTGGGTGTTTGGAAAAGGCAAGTGATCTCCTAACAATAATATTTTAAAGACTTTTGATTTATATTGTTTAAATATAATTTCATTATTGTTACAGGTGCGTATGAACTCTCTATATACTCTTATCACTTGCATCATGCATGTAATTGTTAAATCAATGCATTTCGTAAACCTAACGTTCGTGATCTGTAAGTAAGTTTGGATAAAATTTGTTTCTGAATGAATGTAAACATTACATGTTAGGCTAAAGGCATTACTACTTTTTAAAACTTGAATTTGTTTTCGTTTTGTTACGTACTGATATGAAAGTGAAAGTAGAAACCTTGTATGTCAGTTGGCGTTATGTATGTTGAGATCGTTATCAAGTCCGGATTTCTTCTTAAACTTAATGACAAATGTTTGTTTTTATGGCTTATAGATGCATTCGGCAACTTGAGTTCAGTGTCACAGTGCTGTTTTTTTTTCAGTCCAAAGAGCCCGAAGCTGATAAGACTGGCGATTGATCCTGAAGCTGATTTGACAGACGATTGCATCATCACAATATTGAAGGTAAAAATAAATACTTGAAATAAAAAATCAAAGTATCTCTTTATGACAAAATATTTCTTGATAATTTCTTTTTGTTCTTTTATAATTCTACATTGTTTGCATGGCTTCATCAAAAATAAATTCAGCTCAACTCAATACTCTAGAAATTTTATTCTACATTATAATTTTAATCCAGTGCACTTAAAATATGCAAAATATGAATAGATTTTGCTGGCTGTAAAGGCTATGAAACTATATAGTATACAATAAATTTGTGGGGAAAGGGGGGATAAATTGGATTTTTGAATTTCAACTAAAAATTTATAACAGTGACGTCCAACTTTAAAGGTATGAATACATGTGCATGTGTGTTGAAAGAACATCAGCTAGCTAATCCATTGAATATTTACATCTATGTATTCATTTACTGACAATTATTCCCCCCCCCCCCCCCAACACTATAGTGAATGGTGTGCGTGCCTATAGTTTCGGGTTAAATGTGAGATATATTTAAGACTATAGACAACCTACAAACTTGTACTCTCTCTTTTTGATAGTTTAAGTTTTAATTAAATGTATTCCTAGAAAATATCTACTGTGTGTGACTGTTAGTATTTGTCTTACAGGTTCAATATACAGTCAGCCTCTCATAAGATAAAGAACAAATCCCAAGATCCAAGGCTAATGCTTGAAAGTTAAGGTAACTACACACTGTTAAATAAACTTTGTTATAGTCTTCCCAAAAGTTTGGGATATCTTGGAATCACAATGTCTGTTTTTCTGCCTGTCTACTTGTCTGTAGTATTTTTTGTCCAAAAATAATATACATGTATCTGTATCAGAATCTCCTTAATTTTTTGACAATCTGAATTAATATATACTGTTTGAACATTCCAAATTTAATTGTCAAAATAACAAAAAAATGCTTTTTATGATTTTATTATGAAGCATATCTTTCAATAGTGTAATTGTTTTGCAAATTACATCATAGGATTCCTCAAAACACCTAGTATAGCATATATAACATTAGTTTTATCTTGTTTCATATCTGTGTCAGTGAATTGGGCATATATTTGTTTGCTGATTATACCTAAGTAACTTTTATAACTCACAGAATTTAAGAATTATTTTATTTTTACTTTTGAAATTTTTGTAGAGACCATTCTGTGCCGCAAAGAAATTGTTCAGGAAAAGGAGAAGTGGTGGATATTCATTTTTGGTACGGTACAGTTCAAAGAGATTTTCAAAATGGTCATGGAAGATCAAAGGGAGGACAACTGAAAAAACTGAAAGATACAGAAGGAAAAAGAGCAAGGATATATATGGAATAATTATGAAATGGGGGAGGATGTACACAATCTTGTCTGAATTTGACCTGTGAAGATTTCCTATATTGTATGCTGGAATAATCAATAGCTTGATTTTTCATAAATTTACAATAGAGAATACATGACAAATGTTATTGCTGATATTTCAATGTTGCTTTGGACACTTTCATGTCATATGGTATTTTTATACATTACCTAATTATGTTATTCATTTGTACATGTACAGTATACATGTTTATCTATTTAATCATTTTGCTGAAATCTTATAATTTGTACTCATGTTAGAATATGTTTAATACATGTATCGACAAATGCTACTGACTTGTTTGTATATTTTCTTGTTTAGAATGTACACTGTGAAAAATAAGTTATTTCTCTTGATGAAAATAATTTTATCAAAAATGTTGTGTAAGCATTTTAAGATATTTTAAAATATTTAACCAATGAAGATAGATCATTCTAATGTAATGAATTTTCATCTAAAGCAGAAATATCTGATTTTTAAATGTGTACAAGAATGTGAAAAATATTGAAAAAGAACACACAAGTGTTTCATAAGATTTACATATGATGTACTTTTCATATGATTCTCATATGTAAATGGCTTGAAACACACATAAGTGTTTCATATGATTTACATATGATGCCCTTTTCATATGATTCTCATATGTAAATGGCTTGAAACACACTGAAATCATTCATATGAAAATCATATGTAGTTATTTTCATATGATTCACATATGTGGATCATATGTAAATCATATGATTTGCTTCATATGATTCACATATGATGCCCTTTTTCTATGATTCTCATATGAAACCAATCATATGATACTCGTATGAGAATCATATGTGGCTAAGTTACCTGTGTAGTGTATTAAAAGAAATCTTGGACTCTTTTGGAGGATCCGGACACCGTGCAGTTATTTGCAGCAGCTAATGGTTTAGTTGGTGAAGTCGAGGTCGAGAACCGATTAAGGGAACTACAATGGGAAAAGCACATCGACGATTTATGGCAGGAGGTTCTCTCTGATATGGAGTCTTCTCCTAAAAAAACGTGTCATTCTCTCAATGATGGCAATCAACCTTCAACAAGTAGGGAGGTGGGGGGTGGTGGGGAAAGTTCTGATTCTAAGGACACATTAGCAAAACCTTACAATATCTGGAAGAGAGATACCAGGACCTTCAAGAAAAATCTGGCCCGCGACACCACGTTCAAGGTCAAATTCAATGAACAGTGGAGGGGGGGATAAATTAATAGATATCCAAAACAAATTACACGAGATGTTCGATGACCTATTGTCGGGGTCACGATGCGGATTTGGGAAGGGTGGTCCTTAGATCACGCCCTCAAACACCGCACTATTTCTCAAACATATTATGACAATATCTTGAAAACGTCGAGACAAAAAATGCAAACGGAGCTGGCCATGGGGCTATGTGAAAAAGCTGGTGTGCCCAATGACAGGTATTTAGGTCTGAATGATATCGAACCTTTCGAAAATTTACTTGATGTCTCGATCAACGTCGTGTCCTCTGCCGTTGGAAACAAATTTGTCAGGGTCACAGAAGACCAGGGTAAGCCTCGTCTCTATTTGTATAACGTGGATTCGGAAAAGGAAAAACACTGGCATGGAATTGCTAGGATACAAGGATTTTTTAAGGCGTCGTATTTTTGCCATACTTGTTTAAAACCGTATAAAAATAAATCCAAACACTCTTGTGCCACCTCCTGTGAAGTATGTTTACATGACAACTGCCCAGAAACAGACGTCCAAATGGGTTGTCGTTCCTGTGCTCGGATCTGTCGGTCTTGGACGTGTTTTGAGAGACACAAACAACAAAGAGTTGTCAAGAAAGTTATCCCCCGCCTGTGACGTGTTTTACCAATGCAAAAATTGTAGAGTCACTCTGGAACGTGCAAAGCGCTCTCCCCATTTACATATTTGTCAAGAGTGGCAGTGCCCCAACTGTCGGGAATATCAAACGGGGGAACACACTTGTTATCAAAAATCGTATACGTGTGATATGGAAAAGAGAAACAAGAAATTTATTTTCTACGATTTTGAGACGCGTCAAGATGACAGTTTTCATTGTGACAAAGGATACAGACCG